GACAGAGAGAGAGAGAGAGAGAGAGAGAGAGAGAGAGAGAGAGGAAGGAGGGGATGTTGACAATGAAAGTGGGTGTTGTAGCTCAGAAGTAAACAAATGAAAACAATAACTAACAAAAAGAAAAACAAAAGACAAACTCCCCCCAAAAATAAAAGAAAATAAGAGAAAACAAACTTTACAGATTATTTGTAAATTTCATCTCTTTATTATGTGAGAAAATTTTTACCTTTTCTCCAGGTAAAGTTTATGATTAGGTCCAGCTGGGAGGTGAGTTCAAAGGTCATATGGGAGGTTAAAGGTCGTACAACTTATTTCTTTGTGAGTGTGTGTGTGTGTGTGTGTGTGTGTGTGTGTGGGTATTATTGTACGTCTTTCTGAGTTAAGGGATAATCTACTTTCCTCTTAATTCATGTTTGTGTATCGTCAATATTTTTAAATCTCTATACCTGTCTTTGTGCCTGCATTTTAAGTAGTAATTAGAGACCATTTTGAAATCATCTCACCTTTCCTTGTATTCTCACCTGTAGTGTTATTTCCTGAAGGTGATTAACGGTGAGAAACATTACCTACGTGATCAACATGCACGAGTAAAACGAGTAAACTTTCCACCTGTCTCACTCTCTCCACCAACTCTGCTAAACTTTCTCACGTGTCACTCAGCTTCCAACATATACACTGAGAAATTTGTAATGGAGACACAAAACTCTGAATGAAGTTGTATTGTTGTTTTCCAGTTCCTTTTTGCTTAAATCTGGGAGTATTTCTGCTTCCTGGTGTGTGTGTGTGTTAGATGAGCTTGGAGGAAGAGGTGTAGGAGGAGGAGGAGGAGGAGGAGGAGGAGGAGGAGGGAGGAGAGCAAGTGGACGAAATCACAGCAGATTTTTTTTCATTCAATATCTCTCCCTTGAACCATCCATCCTTTCCTCCCTCCCTCCCTTCCTCCCTCATTCGATTCTTCTATCCCTTCCTCTCTCCTTCCCATTCCTCCTTCTTTCCCTCCTACATACTATAAACAATTAACTATCCAACACACACACACCCAATGATTCCCCGTGTAATTTTCCTTCCTCCACGAGCCATCATCTGAGTCACTTTCACGGAGGCAGAATCACCAAGGGCTTCAGGGTTTGTTTACCTGATCTCTGAGAGGATTGGACTGCAGTAGAAGTGTCGTGAACTCTAAATTGCACGTTGTTGTTGGGTAGTTATGTGAGAGTGGTTTAGTGAGAGCGACGGAAGGAGAGAAGAGGTGATGTATGTATGTATGTATGTATGTATCAATAGTCCATGTATTCGCGGAATTCAATATACAGGTAGAGACAATATCTCCCGTTGCTCAACAATAATATGAAGGAACAGAGGCCTTGTGTCAAATACAACAAAGCCAATGATTACTTGTACAGTATTACCCTTATGATGCCATGGTAGAGATCCCTATTCACACGCAGAGGTCCAGGGTTAGATTCCTGAGTCGGGAGATATTGTTGTGTTGTGTTGCTAAGCGTAAGGTCAGGGTGGGATTGGTTGCTACAATTACATTACTGTTTATGGGAGTCTTTGTGAGCCTGTGATCCTCTGCTAGTCTTTGTGATTTTTTGTGAGTCTGTGATCTTTTGCGAGTCTCTGTGATCTTCTGTGAGTCTCTGTGATCTTCTGTGAGTTTCTGTGATCTTCTGCGAGTCTCTGTGTTCCTCTGTGATCTTCTGTGAGTCTGTGAACCTCTGTGAGTCTCTGTGATCTTCTGTGAGTCTTTGTGATCTTTTGCGAGTCTCTGTGATCTTCTGTGAGTCTCTGTGATCTTCTGTGATCTTTTGCGAGTTTCTGTGAGTCTCTTAGTTTCTGTGATCCTCTATAATTCTACAGTCAGTCCTCTTGAGAACGCCCCTCTGACAGTGACACATTATTCCCCGCCTGGTTGGACTCTCCTGTGTGTATGTGAGTGTAATTCTGTCTGCCTATCCAAACCTCTGTTGTGGCGCTGTGATGGTGTGGCGCTGTGATGGTGTGGCGGTGTGATGGTGTGGCGGTGTGATGGTGTGGCGGTGTGATGGTGTGGTGCTGTGATGGTGTGGCGGTGTGACCATTATATCACAAGAACGAGAGATTTCAGAGTTGGAAACAATGGTGAAAATAAGCTTGTGGAATCACCTAAAGATTAGACCCCCTCAGCTTTTTTTTTCATTTGATGATTAAACACCGTAATCCTACCTGGAGGAGTAAGGTTAGGTTAGGTTACAGTGAAGATTTTTGTTATTGTTATTATTATTATTATTATTATTTTATTTCATCAGTATTGTCATCATCATTATCATAAGCCAACCTCATTACCTTAACGAGACAAGAGAGACCCACTTTAAACTCACATAGGTACACATATCAACAGGTAAGTGGCGGCTTTACTCAGGTTAATTAATGTCATCTGAATTTAAAGTAAAAAAAAACATCATCATTTCTTTCCTCGTTAACTTGTCTGAAAATTTGCGGAAGGTATATTTGAATGGAGTTATGTTTTCAATTTGCGTGTGTTGTGAGCGGGTGCGTGAGGGAGCGTCAGGGGATGACGTGTGTGTGTGTGTGTGTAAGTACAGGAATATCTCTCTCTCTCTCTCTCTCTCTCTCTCTCTCTCTCTCTCTCTCTACACACACACAACTATCAACATAACATTTGGGGTATTTACACAAGCTTAACACACACACACATCTGTTTACCTTATCTGAAAGACCTGACTTAAACTCTCAGGCGGTGAGTCTTGGCGAAAGTAATAGAAGCACCGCGGTGTTACTTGTAGATGTAAATATTTGTGACGGAGCCATCATGTGTGTGTGTGTGTGTGTGTCTATCTATCTATTTATCTATCTCTATCTATCTATCTACGTTAGTTAGTTTCGGTTACCATAAAACTAACGCCTTAAATATCCCCAAATCTTTATTATTGACGAATAATCATTTTCTGTGACATATTTCAGCAGCGACACAAATAATCCCGCACACAGTCCATTAAATTCAAGAATAGCGATCTCACATCTCAGCTAGGAAACGTCAGGAACCGTAAAATCCAAGGCTGGGGATTTCTCGTCATCTCTGGGTGAACTTGAAGGTGTATCGTGATAGGAAGACCGTGACAGAGACCCTCCAGCCAATATTACCTGGGTCAGGAAAAACATTATGAACGACTTGCTCAAATATTTCATCGTCTTTTTTAGGGATGAGCCGCGAACGTCTTGATGGATCATTGGCCACCAAGATTAAACTCAAGGAACAACAACAATAAAGATTATTAAAGAAAAGATAAAAAAATAACTAATATAAAAAAAACAAAGAAGAATTATGGGAAAAAAGAAGATTGCATTGGAACGACATGTCAATATAATCGTGGTTGTTGTTTTCTCAATAATATCATGACCCAGTAATGTGACCTTTGGAAATTACTACAGGTATTCTATATCGATTATAACAGTGACCTCAGACTATATGATAATAAAGACAAATGAACTCTAGGGGTTGCCATGAGGTATATATATGTATATACCAAATTTGAAGGAGGAGCTATAGAGTAAACATAGTACAGTCGCCTGCATTTAGACATGGTACAGTAGATGGCATATTCTGTGAGATGTGTCAACTCTGTGTTTGTTATTATTATATAAAAACTCCCAGAATGGCCCGTAAGGAACCTCACAACACTAGATGCGATATAAATATTCAAACATCTCACAAAACGAGCCAGGCACTGTACCAGATCTAAGTGCAGGAGACTGTACATATTCATACAGACAGACTGACAACTATACACGATTCCTGCAAAAAGTAGACAATCGGATAAATATAAGTTTGGGTGTTTATTGTACAGGAGAAAAGACATAAATAGGAATAATAAGCTCTCGAGGTGCACAGTGGCCAAGTGGGTACAAATTATTATTATTATTATATTTTCGCCCCCAGGCTCTGATGTGGGTCATTGACCTGTACCCTGGTGGGCTAATGCTGTAAAAAACAAAAACAAAACATATCCCAATGGTAGCTGGTTTGACACAAGGACAGATACCCCCCCCCCCCCAGGCCACCCAACTGTGAGAGGGTACTTGAATTTATAGATCAAGTGAAAGCGGTTGTGTGCATCATTAGCCACCCTTGTGTACTGAAGCTTAGTAATCGGTCTAGCCTGTTTACATTATCATTATCCACATTATTGGTCCAACAGATTAAACGCAAATCATAATGCCTGCCACGGTGTTCTGTTTGTTAATTATGTATACTGATAATAATAGCTTTGAGTTTAAGAAATGTTCATTAGCCCACATCCACACACACGCGCGCGCACACATACACACACACACATACACACGGGAAAGCCATATAAACAGTCGAGGAAGGAAGATATCGTGTTCAAGACGTGTTAAATGGTAATCAAAGGGCCAATAGCTTTCCAATTACCCAAACGAGGCGGAATAATTGTTTGACAATGTATCGTAATTACACTTGCGCCCCTCCGCCCCTGTATGTCGGCTCAAAGGTGCTTATCTAAATGACAATGTGAGATGCTGATGATCATTTCTATTTAGTGGAGAGGAACAATTTCTTCTCGTTTTAAGTATATTTATTCCACAGTCATGTAAGTCATCCATCTTTTTGGGTATAATCTATCTTCCCTTTATGGTTAACCACGTCATCCACCTCCCTACCAGTTGTCCATATTATCCAATCTCCTGCCACAGTCATCCAGCCTCCTGCCACAGTCATCTACGTCATCCACCCTACCAGTCATCATCCATATCATCCAACTTTTATCTGTTTCCCTGTCTTGGTCGGGAAGAATAATGCAAGGTATCTTTTCAATATATATTTTTAAGGCAGAAAGTTACTGGGTGTCATATATTGCAGTACTTTTTTAATTGTTGATATTTCATTCCTCCCCCGTGTGTGTGTGTGTGTGTGTGTGTGTATTATGTACTAGTGTCATCTAAAATTAAACATTTCGTTTTATTCTTCTTTCAGACATCCCGTGAACGACAACACACCCACAAGCCCTTCTTCAGAAAGCTCTTGATTAGAAGGTCCTACTCAGCCTAAGGTCCTACTCAGCCTCTCCTTCCTAGTACCTGGCAGACGAGGATAACTCAATCTACACCAAACCCTCCCAGAATTTCCTCTCTTGTAAACATGGAGATAAACATCCAATTGGATCAGATTGGTTCGCCTACGTTCTCCCTCATCCTCCTCCTCCTGCCCCTTCTTCTCCTCCCAAGAGATAATGTCTCTCTCAGCATCACCAACTCAGGGAAGTAAGTTGCTGTTCAGAGAGATTTTTTTTTCTGGTTCAGTGATATGATTCCACCATCGTTTATCTACAGTACCCCATAAGATCACCAGTCTTATCTGCTTCACCTGTCAAAGCAACAGTCAACACCAGTATCACCAGTCAACACCAGTGTTCTCTACGTCACCAATGACCATCAACACCTCTACCATCACCAGCTTCAACAGTACCACCCCCCCCCCACTCCCCACCTGTCTGACTCTCTCTCACTAGTAGCTGAGTTCACCAAGACCCTCTTTACCCCAGGAGTGATAATAACAGTGTAGAAAAAAGCAATACCTTCGTCAGGATATTCTTGGGATGAATTCACCATAAACAGAAACGAACTTTGAAGTAATTTATGACCAAGAGAACTTCGTAATGTAAACATGAAAAATACATTAAAAAAACAACAATTCTGGAAATTCATCTATTGACAAAACTTTAAATGAAAAATGTGTTTAAATTTCGAAAATAAAAAGTTGAATAGTGTCGTCCAATGTCCAAAGTTTTAATTATTAACTTGAAGCCCAAAAAAGTGTTGTAGTTTGCATTGTAAGTAAAAAAAACAGCAACAACTTCAGTCTTTGTAATTATATGTAAAAGAGCAACGAAGATAATCACCCAGCTTGAAAAAAAAATATTCACTTCATTTTTTAACTTAGTGTTTATATCTTTCCATGTGTTCTTTCTCGCTCACAACAAACTAGATTATTCTCAGTCGATTATTCTCAGCCGATCGAACACACGACATCAAACACTCACATAAACAAACAAAACAAAAAACGAGATAGAAAAGAAACATTCAACATAAATAGAAAAAAAAACACCGTAGTCCTTCATAAAAAAAAACCCTAACAAAATCCCCCAAAAAACAGATAAATAAAATCACCTCCGATATCAGAGACCCAGACGAGAAGGGAGACATAAGTGTTGACGAGAAGCGAAAATTCTTCCCAATTTAGCTGTCACTCGGGGTAAGGTAACTCAATAAAACGTGTTGGTCTGGACGGGAAGGTGAACGTGTCTAAGAGAAATTAAAATAGATGGTTATTGCTGATACAACTAGTCTGGTCGTAGAAAAGTGATTTGTGTCTACTTAACCTATATACACTGACTAATTAGCAACGGGAGGTACAAGTATAAGAGTGAATACAAATAAAATGGAGATAACATAAGAAAATAAAAATAATATAAATTGGACGTAGAAAAGACATAAGTATGTAGATGGAACAAAACAATAATACAAATAATATAAACTGCATACACAAAAATACGAAGATAATTAAAACATTTAAAAAAAATCACTCACATGACCTGAAGTTTCACATTCAAATTCCAACAGGTAAAGAATTATCTCCCGAGAAAAGAACTTGAAGTGAAAATTCTTGTACCCTCGTGGAAAAAAAAAACAGTCGCAAGGTAGTGATTGAGGACACTGTAAACACGAGGCACTGTAACCCCAGCAAGACTTTGAACACAGGAACACCTCATCTGAAAATTAATCTTAAATACCACAAGAGGGAACATTAAGATCTGAAGGAGGACTGAAGTGCATAAAGAAGAGTCCTGAGGAGATTATAAACGAGAGAGAATTTTCCATACAAACCCAAACAAGAAAGAGAATATTAATACTCCCAAGAGCAGGAGACACGGGAAGGAGAAGAAGAGGAGACGAAGGAGGGAGGATCACCTGAAGAAGAGGAAGACAAAGAAGGGGAGATCACCTGAAGAAGAGGAATACGAAGGAGGAAGGAGAAGGAAGGGGAACCACCTGGAGATATCAAGGAAGAAGAAGAAGAATTGACCCGTGTTGTGAGAGGCTGCCATCACTCAGCTACCTCACCAATCCACATGATGACTGCGGGGAGCGGCGAGATGGTTCACCACCTAGAGGAACTAGAGGCCTACATACCCAGGGAGGAGCTGGCATCCATCCTGCCCAACCTGACAAAGGATCAAGCCTCCTATCTCCTCCAGCTCCTGCCAGTGCTGAACAATGATACCAGGTTCAGCGTTGAGCTTCCTAGTCCCTCCGCCATACCTACAGATCACGCCTTCTGTGACGTGGGGTTTAGAGATGGGTATAAGGTAGGTTACTCTTTAATATATATGTGTGTGTGTGTGTGTGTGTGTGTGTGTGTGTGTGTGTGTGTGTGTCTTCTTCCATCCACCCACCACTACTTATTGTCTCTCTCTCTCTTTCTCTCTCTCTATTCCCTCTTTCCCCTCTCATTGTTATTCCCCTCATAATATATTTCTTCTCACATTTCCCCTCTCATCTTATCTTTCCTTCATCACATCTTTACCCTCATACTAGTTTTCCCTCATATTAATTTCCCCTCTTATTTTTCATGGGTAAACTAGAGAGAGGTGAGGTAAACTAGAGAGAGGTGAGGTAAACTAGAGAGAGGTGAGGTAAACTAGAGAGAGGTGAGGTAAACTAGAGAGAGGTGAGGTAAACTAGAGAGAGGTGAGGTAAACTAGAGAGAGGTGAGGTAAACTAGGGAGAGGCGAGGTAAACCAGGTAACGAAAAAATAACTCGGTTCCATCAACTCATTAGCTCAAAGTGTTGATGATACACGTGATCGAAGCTTAACTAGGTAATTAACGCTGTGAGTAGTTGGTGTGTTGGGTAATTTAGGGTCGCGGGTAATTAGTGCTCCAATTACAGTGAGACCTCTATTAAACGGACTATATGGAGAGGAAAATCCGTTATATCGAGGTGTCCGTTAGATAGGGGAGACAGGAAGTGAGAGATGGAGGTTTTGTGAGAGATAATTGTGAGAAATAGCTCGCTCTCTCTCTCTCTCTCTCTCTCTCTCTCTCTCTCTCTCTCTCTCTCTCTCATTGCGCTTCGATAAACTTACTAACTCAGTGATCGAAATAATATCCCTCCCTCATCGCCTCTTTCCTCCAGAAGCTCATCTCAAGTCGGGATTCTCAGGATTTAAAACAAATATTCCCCGTAGCTTGAAATAGAAATAGAGACACAAAGGTTTAAGATAAAATTAATTCAATTCTCAAAAGGTAAACTGATAACGAGGCCAAGGATGTGTTCTAAGAATATTCCTGTGTAGGAAATTTTAAACCAGGACGGCCTCAAATTCATTTTAGTTTACCCTCAAAGGATAAAGAGTTTTGGGAAGGTGAAGAGTTGTTCCAGTAAGTGGGAGTGTAGGCCTTTCTTAATGTGGAAGCCTCTCTCTCTCTCTCTCTCTCTCTCTCTCTCTCTCTCTCTCTCTCTCTCTCTCATTGCGCTTCGATAAACTTACTAACTCAGTGATCGAAATAATATCCCTCCCTCATCGCCTCTTTCCTCCAGAAGCTCATCTCAAGTCGGGATTCTCAGGATTTAAAACAAATATTCCCCGTAGCTTGAAATAGAAATAGAGACACAAAGGTTTAAGATAAAATTAATTCAATTCTCAAAAGGTAAACTGATAACGAGGCCAAGGATGTGTTCTAAGAATATTCCTGTGTAGGAAATTTTAAACCAGGACGGCCTCAAATTCATTTTAGTTTACCCTCAAAGGATAAAGAGTTTTGGGAAGGTGAAGAGTTGTTCCAGTAAGTGGGAGAGTGTAGGAGCCTTTCTTAATGTGGGAAACTCTCTCTCTCTCTCTCTCTCTCTCTCTCTCTCTCTCTCTCTCTCTCTCTCTCTCATATTAATAATGTTTCTAATTAGAATGTGGTTGATGGAGTCGCTATGTATTTTTAGAGACTTTAAGAAGAGATCTGCAAAAATTATACTTTACAAAGCTTGAAATTTTGAAAACTGAAACACCTGAACATTTGCAAATCAGTCAGTGTTTTCTTTTGCCTTTAAGATTAAAGTTTTTCCAGATTCAATCGATTTTTGTTTCAGCAAGAAATTCGTCCTTTTTGCTCGTCTATGAAAGTTCTTCATTTGTTTTGTATTTCTTGATGATAATGAGAGCAATAATCTCACGGTACTTAGAGACGCATTGATGATCATATTATCCTGTATACATAGAAAACAGACGGATCACGTGTTACAGTTTCACAGTTCGGTTTCAAGGAATGTGACGAATCAAACAAGAACTCGAGGAATTCCACCAAGATCCAATCCTCCTTGAAACCGAACTGTGAAAATGCCTCTCAAAGTTTATGAACCTTAAATAAGAGACTTGTGAACTCTTAACGCGAGACTTAGGTTTCATAAACTGTCAGATACGACCAGTTAAGTGTAGAGTAAAGTCTATTGAGGAGGGAGACCCTTGATGACAGCAGGTGCGTGTTATGTGTCACCTACCATACACAAATTCCTAGGAATGGCTCGCTGCCACAATCACCTCCGGTAGTTACGAGTTTTTTTTTAGAATGGTTCGCTTATACGTTCACACCTTGCAGCTTTTATACGAGACATAGCCCTCGAGTTAACATGGGGAGTAGGTCTTAAATTATAGTTTCTTCAATGTATTTATTTTTGGTTCTTACAAGAGATACAACATAGCCCACTAGTTCATGCCTTGATAATTGAATTTCGATGATAACTCCACAGGCAGTAGACAGCTATCAAACGGAGGTACTACCGCCTGGGAACATATTAGAAGCATAATGTATTGCCTAATGGTAGACCCTGCTGCCATATGGCATCACAAAAATTGTGACCAAGTCCCAGGTTGCTGATTTGACTTTCTGCCTCATTTACACACAATTGCAGGGTCTCAATTGTTTCTGTTACTTTGACAACACAACATACATATATTGTTTCTCACTATTTATCTATTTTTTTGCCCTTTATTATTATTATCATTATTATTATTATCATTTTTATTATTAGTAGTAGTAGTAGTATATTTCCACCCCCAAGCAAGCCCTGATGTGGGTCACTGACCTGTGCCCTGATGGGCTAATCCCGTAAAAAAAGATATATATTTCATATTACAAAACACAAGGCTTACTTGTTTCCCCGAACGAGCACTACTTTAGTGAATAATTAATACTGCCAACCTCTGTAGTCACGAGAACGATCAAAGAATTCCCTGAGGCAAAGACTACAATGATTGGTTGTTCTGCGAAATGATTAGTTCATTTAATGAGCTGTTGAAACTGTCCGATACATTCTCCTCCCTCTTCCTCCTCTACCTTCTCCTCTTCCCATCACCCTCCCTTTCTCCACTTATTCCTCCTCCCCTTACCCTATTTTTCAAGTTAGGGAGGAAGTAAGAGAAGGTGACAATCCGAGTCTTTCACACTCGGTAACATGATTATCGACTCCTTCAGATTACTTCCACCACACCTCTGAGTCGCTGTACTGTGTCGACCTCATCAGGCTCTCTCTCTCTCTCTCTCTCTCTCTCTCTCTCTCTCTCTCTCTCTCCACCACCTAATACCCATCTGCCAGACTCGCTGATCTAAATTCCTTTCCCCATGGCTTGACCAAGTTATATCCGCCTATTAAGTGTTCAGCAGATCTGGTAGTTAATTCATCCTACACATGTATGTATGTATGGAGACATCTGTTTCATACAAAGTCATCATATGTTTCTGGTAAATTAGGATTGGCGCTGTGGTCTCCTCATTATACTAAGACAAATTATATCTGTCTGTCTGTCTCTATATAATCCACACACCATTTCAGTATCCCATACGATTACGTCATATTCCTTCTATAAACAGTATCAGTCATATTGGTGTTATTCTACTGGGCATGAACACCGAAGTCATATTGTTCCCGAAACAGAATTACTTTTATGACGCGGGCTGAACGTGATGTCCTTGATGAAGTGTGTTCACGTCTTGGTGTTGGTGACCTAGTGGAAGGGGAGGGAGGGAGGGAGGGAGGGAAGGAGGGAGGAGGAGGAGGGAGGAGGAGGAGGAGGAGGAGGGAGGGCTGGAGAGTATATATTGAGGTCAGGAAAAGTTCTCTCTCTCTCTCTCTCTCTCTCTCTCTCTCTCTCTCTCAAAACCACACCATAAATAACAGTTAAGTTTTAGTTAATCATTGTTAACTAGGGTGTGTACGAAGGTTAGACATTAAAAGACTTTGACTTATTAAACACATAGTAATATATTATATCATCAACAACATCACTCGAAGGTTGTGATCGTAGGAGTTATGAGTTATGATTATTCGACTTTGTTAATGTTCTCGTAAAGCATCTCGTTAATGACTCGTTCGTTCCGGTCGTTCGTTATATCCGATGACAGTTCCTGGGAGGTTGATGTTTTTTTTTTCCTTCCTAGAAAAGATCAAGTTTGGGTGTGATTATCTCTCTCTCTCTCTCTCTCTCTCTCTCTCTCTCTCTCTCTCTCTCTCTCTCACCACCCGTTCATACTCGTACCCATCCAAGATAAGAAGTGTAACCTCTCAAGATGCCTTTTGTAAGCTATTATACCTATTGGAAACCTTTATCATTCACTCTCTTTTCCTTTCATCACCACGTTATTTACGAGACAGAGAGAGACAGAGAGAAAGAGTTAAATCTCTCTTCTTCTCCTTTCATTCATGTCATCCGAGAATATCACTTCGTAAATCCTTAAAGCAGTTTTATTTCTCTAACACCTTTAAGGATTTCTTGCCGTTAACCTCTGCCTTCTCCTCCTCCTCCTCCTACTGTTACTTTACCTACTTCTACTCTCCACCTTCTCCTCCCCTTCCCCCTCTTCCAACCTTTCTACTCCTCATTTTGCTCTTTCTCCTCCTCCTGCTCCTCCTCATCCTCTTCCTACTCCTCCTCATCCTCTTTCTACTCCTCCTCATCCTAACCCTCTTCCACCCCTCTTTCACCCCTTCCTTTCCCTCCTTCCTCCTCCCCTTCCTCTTCCCCCCCCCTTCCTCTTCCACCCTCCCTACCCCTCCTAACCCTCCTCCTCCTCTTCCTACCCCTCCTAACCCTCCTCATCCTCTTCCTACCCCTCCTAACCCTCCTCCTCCTCTTCCTACCCCTCCTCATCCTCTTCCTTCCCCTCCTAACCCTCCTCCTCCTCTTCCTCTGAATACCCCGGTACTCAGCTCAGCCATGAAAGAGTTACGGTGAGGGTTCTCGTGTTGGTGGGGAGAAATATATGTTCAGCAACCTTTTGATGGGATGAGGACTGGTGACACTCCAGATTTATCTTG